GAAGAAAGACAAAATTGGAAAAGTAAAACTAGAAAGGTACATAAGGTAAATGTCCCAATTTCTGCTCATGTGATGATTTCGCTGTCAAAGTATTATATTATACACTTTTACACATTTCATAGTAACCTGAATCTCCTTGCATCCCATAGAAAAGTATGTTGTTAGTAAAATTATTCTATTTTTAAGTACGTTAATTTAGTATCCTCTTAAGGGGCTGGGGTAGTCACGTGACCCGGGCTCGTTTAGCCCGTGCACGTTTTTTAGCGATGTTCCTCCGGTTAAACAATCGCGTTCGTCCATTTCGAACCGACGTGAAGAAGACGTACGGTGCACTACTAATTGCCGCCGGTCGACGACTACGTACATAGTACATGTATACATACGTCTGCTACAAGGAAAACGAACAAAAGTAATGCGTCAACTTGGAAACACGTAATGCCTGTTGGCCAGTGAGTTCCCTGGTTGTCGATGAACAACTGTTTGATTCGCTACTCCAAGCGCTGCACCGCAGTCTACCTTGACCTAGCTCCAGTATTCTCACGAACAAATACTGCGGCAAGTTCAATGATATAAGCCGATTAAGAGTTATCCGGGCCGAAACGTGTTTCACCGGAGTGTTCGACGTAATTCGAATATCTTGCCAATTGCTACTTTCGAAACCATTCTATGCCTCGTATTTTGTCTTAGAAATTCGGCCACTCTGAACTTTCAGTGGTCCTCGACGATCGAGGCCTCGCACACTAGAGACTGGGTAGAAAAACGTTTGAAAGATCGAGGAGAAGGATTCTCCTCGTGGCGCAGAACACGGTCGTTCTGGGAAAAGGAGAGCAAAATGTGGGGCAGACAGCGGCGCGCATTCGTGGTTGGATTTTACTTCGTACGTATATATGTATGCATATATACATATATATCCGAAATCGATAGGGGTGCATACTTTTGACGAGCACACTCGAACGTGTTCGCAGGTGCGCGGAGAGGTGAGCGCATGTCCGGGCCTAGATGCGCGCACGGTTCTCTCGGTTATAATTACGGTGACCCGTTTGTTTAACCCCGCCGATAACAAGCAACGATTTTGCGCCTTCCTCCTCTCCGCCTCTCCTCCGTCTTTCACCCTCCTCGCGGAATAATCTTTTTCTGCGCTGCCGTATTGACTAACAAATCTCTAAGACGATTTAAATTGATTATAAGGTAAATGTACCGATTTATACTCACTGCTTATACTTCAGGTCTTCAATTTACTGAAAGAATTTATTGCAAACGATTTCTTGCTGAATTCATCTGTATATTAAATTTCAGACGTGAAAGACGCTTTTCATTATTTCAGTTATACATTCCTTTTTCATGCTCAGTTGATATCGAAATCATGCTTATTGTTAGCTGAGTAGAAATCGGGACATTTACCTTATGCACACAAATATAATTAACTCTTTTCTTTCTATTGTAGGTTTAGTGAACTTATTACCAGTATTGAACAGAGATACTAGAAATACTAAAATTAGATCATAACGACGGTTTATAAACGACTGGCACTCAATTCTTTGACAGCTGGGATTTCATTTCTATTCTTACAGTTGTAACTCTTGTTTACAGCTACTCTCGCGCATTAACTAGAATGTATGAGTCTGTATATGTAGATCCTCATGTATTTATTCATCACACTTTCATTTTCTTTCACTTCACATTGTAGAATGCAATTAGCGTGAAGCGTTTTATAAACTAGTTCATTTATTTATTTCAGTTTTACCTGTTTTTTATATTGAGAACAGAAAGGCTCATAGACACTAGTTCATAAATCATAATCGATATGTTCATCAATCGACTAATGATCTCTTCACTATTGTAGTCATAAGCTGATATAATTAGAATCAGTTAGTAAGTATTTAGAAGTTCATTAGCAGAATGATAAACTATTGGTTATTCAATTTCTCTATCTAATTATATCACTAATGCCCATAAAACAGTTTGTACTCTTGAAGTATGAGACACGGAACATACTGATCGCGACGCAGTAGTTGAAATTCTTTTAGCGTTTCGGATTAAACGCTCGGGGAGCATACGCGATCATGGACAAGGTAAGTAGTATGGCGGTCCGACGAAAACCAGTTATATCCGATGAACCAAGGAGAATATCCGGTAAAGTTCCATCAAGATAATAGAGCAAACCAGCGAAACTTTCTTTCCCATTCCGAAGGCAATCTCTGCGGATAAAGAGTCCGTGCTCTATATCAAATTTCCCGACGTCTCACCTCCTTCCCATGATCGACCGTTTAACTCCCGCCCTCGTCACGTTCCCCGGATTTACTCGATTCATTGATCGTCGGAATTTCCAACTTTCGACTCTCTTTGCAAATTCCACCGGCGAGAACGTCACTTTCCGCGGACCAGAAATAGGTAGGTACGTTCTTGGTAGCATTTCGATTGTTTCGAGACGGGTCGGATTCTCGCGGTAAGACTTCCGTCGGATTCGATCGGTAGGAAACTCGTTTCCCCAGGCCCCGGCAGGCCGACTTCGTCGAAATTGAATATATGAATGCGAAATTCCGCTTCGGCTCGTTGAGAGTGTTCGACTTTCGAGCCGGGATCGAGGAAAATAGGGACTCGTTAGACGCCGCGCCGGTCCACGACGTTGGAAAGCGAATAAGCGAGCGTACAAATTTTAATTAGGACGGGACAAGTGGCGGGAAATGCGCATTTGTTTCACGGTAAGATGAAAGCAGGCTTGATTACGTATCATCTCCCATGCTCGTCGGATCGAACAACTCCGACGGCTGCGAACGGATAATCGATGAATCATTTTCCACATTGTCTCGCGACTCGGAGATCGAAAAAACGGGAGATCAACTTTTCTCGTGTTTTTTTTTTTTTTAAATGAACGAACGAGCCACCGTAGGGTGTCCTCGGTCAGAAAAATCCGTCATCTGCGTTTCTTCCGCATGGTACGCTGAATACCCGGACACGATCCGTTCTCGCGTTGCTCATCGAACCGTAGGAGGAAAGCCCGTTTCGCTCGAATCAATCACCCGACGGAACATCGATACGTGGGTAATCGCTGGATTAAAGGATAACCAAGGATAATTACTCGCCGTTCGATCCGGATGCAATCAATTCTCGATGCGTTATAGTTCGGTTCGCGTTACCTTGTGCAGCCCCCCTGTACAACCCCTGACACCTTCCTGTCTCAGCTGCCTCCTAAATCCATCTTTCCCTCCGTCAATTTTTTTCTATTCCAAATTTGTTATGTGACACACGATATTCGAATTCTTTTAAAATAGAGTGTACATTGTGTAAAAAAAGTACCCAGAATCTCCGTTTCTGGTGTATGTATTAAAAGAATGTTTTGTATGTAAGTGAAGATTACTGCACTTAATTGTGACGTTAAGCTCATCGATCGCGACCTTTTAACCAGTGTATTTTTTTCTTTTTTTAATTAACATTTGGAACCTTTTACGGAATTCATTTAGCTGTATGTCCAAAAGGTCGATACACTTTCTATTTCTGCCATTTTCAATTAAAATTAAATTTTTATGTTACACTTTTTCAGAAACGAAAGAATACTAAGAATAATGAGAATAATAAGAAACCAGTACGAAGATATTTAAGATCAAATCAAATCTATTTTAAACGTCAATTAATTGCGGGACGCGAAGCCCCGAAAATGAAACATCGCGGAGGATCTCGTTAAACGCGAGTGCGTCGTATGAAATGGTTCACGCATATTATTTTATCGTCGGAAGCCGCCGCCGCCGCGCGCCGCTCTGCTAAGGATTTATGGTTGCTAAAACGGCGCGTATTTACCTGCACCCGCTGGAATTATGCTGACCGTGGATATTTCGTTCTTGTTAACGCGCGCGGTAACTCGTCCATCCATCAAGTTCCATGAGTTACGGGCGCGAGGTGAAGTCTCGGCCCGCGTGAAAATGTATACATTATACATACACCCCTGTCTATAAGTTACCGGACAAAATCACTGATGGATTTCCTATAAATCTACATACAATTGTGGGTGGATAATCATGTGCTATGCAAACTAACCAAGATGGATATAGTGACCATTCCTCAAGGTCCTAGCGACAAAGATTCATTATCCGTTATTTAATACTAGAAAGTAGAACTACCGGCGATTGATGTATATCTACTTCTACCGGAGGAGTCAGAATGACCTGTTTTACAAATTAAGCACGTAAGAAAAGAAAAACGAAAATTTGATATCCAAAAGGGTACTGGCACACTTTCCATATAATAAATACTTAAATTTTTTAATTATTGTACGCGAAAGATATTTCCAATAATTTATTATTCATGCTTCTGGCATTAATTATAGCCTGCAGTCGATTTGGCATCGACCCACCACGACTTTTACTTCATTTTACAATACTTATTTTAAAACTACTGGCCCATATTTTTTTTATCGCTTTGGATAAAAGTGTTACAAGTTATTACAACTTATTCGATTAACTGTCTGGTGACTTATAAATGGGAATGTACGTACATACATCATTTGGTTCACGGTTTCACTTAAAATCGTTGCGTCATTTTAGCCCACTTTTTACGTCGGCAATTCAAACACTGCATCGACGACAGATAAATTTATCTGGGAACGCTCGCGGTATAAATTCCGTTCGAAAAGGAGGAACGAGACCTCGTGAATTTTTCTCGTTCTTCAAGGTGAGCTCGAGTTACGAAACCGATCAGACGCGTAATAACACGGGTATTCGTTCCGCGAGGACTTATCACCGTGAAACTTTAATTTAATTTCGTCTCCGACTAGCCCTCATTTCCGTTCCGACGCGGTATCTCTCCGCATATTACTCGTGGAACCGTCGGACTCCGAACTTTAATCCTCGTCCGTAACTTTTCCAGGAAATCCACGTATCTCATCGGGGGTAGAAGTTTGGAGATACGAACAAACCGCGCAATCGTCGATGCGGTCCGTCGTCTCAGTCAAGAATTATGAAAATAATGGAAGAGACGGAACACAGAAATGGAGATCTGGTACTCACGATCGTGATCGTCCGTCTGATTCCTCTTATGGTGCGTCTTATGGTGGTGACCACCGGGAATCGGAATCTGTCTGATGGCCGCCAAATCGCGATGATCGGCGTCGATCAACGGGTTCTCCAGCTGCGACTCGATCAACTCGAAACTGGTGGAATTGTCCGGATGCGAGATGACCTTCACTGTAAACGAGCAAACGTAACGGAGCATGGAAGGAAACGAAACGGTCCTCGAGATTGAACCGAGTTACGGCCGCGTATTTTTTGCCCTCTCAGTTGCCGAAGATCGGTCGATTCCGCTCGCGCACGAGATCGAGCGGACAGTTTGCGCGGGAATTAAACACGAAAGGAATACGAAGAATTTTTCAATTTTTAATTATCGCGGTAAGGGAAGAGGACTCTTCCAAATAGACACGTTGCCGAGCTCGACGATTCGCTGCGCTGTGGAACTTCTTCGAATCGCGTCAGTATTGAAATCAGCAAGCCGCACAACTGACGACTCAAACGGACGTGCCAGTTCTTCAACGAACGATGAGTCGATCTATTTCAAGAAAGGTGAATATACTTATAGAATACGCAAAAGGGCGACTTGCTGTTTTGTACGTCGGGCGGTACGGAAAGAACGGTGTCGGGCCGATCAGCCGAAGAAGAGCAGCGGTCGGTGAATCGATGGTGTCTTGTCAAGGTGTTGACACCGGTGTACGAACCTTGGTCGACGAACCCTTCGAAGGCCTCGCGGAGATCGAAGAGCCGGTCGACTGGCAGCGCGCCGATCCTGAACTCGAGGTCATCGAGGTCGTCGTCGGCGCGATCGAAGATCGCCCGGTGCTCATAGGTGGGCCTCGGTGCGAACTTCTTCGGCTGCACCAGGTTAGGCCTCTCGACGCGTTTCGTCTCGTCCACAGTAGGCGTTGGACGAGCCGCCGCCGCCGGCGGATAACTCGACTTCGACGACGACGACGATGACAACGAAGACGACGACGAGGACGACGAAGAAGACGATGACGACGACGACGTCGCGACGGACGGTGGTGCAGGTGGTTGTGGTGGTGGTGCGGGGTGGTGCTGGTGGTGCTGGTGATGGTGATGATGGTGCGGGTGCGCGTCATGCTCGCTTTGGGAGTGCCTTGGCTGCAGGTGCACTGTGCTGGAGGCACGATCATGCTTGGACAACGTGGAAGAAGAAGAGGAAGAAGAAGACGAAGACGAAGAAGAAGAGGAAGAAGAAGAAGATGAAGAAGAGGAAGACGAAGAAGAGCCGCGGTCATAGAAGCTGGCAGGTCCCTCCGTTTCATCTTTCTCCTGCCGGTCCTCGTGATCGGCACGAGGATGATCGTACGACTCGACCACGAGGACACCGGGCCTGCCAGGCAACTCCGGTGCTTCTTGATGACGGCCGTGCTGATGACGATGCCCGTGCTGCTGCCCCTGTCCCTCTCCCTGTCCCTGTCCCGCTTCCTGGACGTGGTACGTGCTCTCGTGGTCGTAGTACGAGGTGCGCGCGGGCCCGGGGAACAGAAAATAGGGGTACATACTGGTCGGCGGTAACCAGATCTCCTGGTAGCTCTCCTGCTGCGGGTCGAACGGGTACAGGGCTGAATCCGTGCCCGACAGGTCTACGGAGGTGGAGGAGGGCAGGAACTCTGTAACACAGAAGCAGAGACGCGGACGAAAACGGGGTGAGTGGGGTGCTGCGTGTGATATATCGTATACGCGTGCACGGACGGACGACGGGTTTCACGAACGTGCTACTCTTTGTATATTCTTTTCTATTCCCTTCGTTGTCTGTAGTTCAAGTTCTGTGGTCGATCGGTGATATAGTGGTGACAGTGGTTGTGACGGTGGTGATACGGTGGTAGTGGCGGTCAGGGATCCCGAAGAGATCGGTTCGGTATCGTACAGGGAGTTCCCGGGATGCGCGAAGGAGTCGAAACAACCTGTACGGTTGTTAACTTCCTGATAAATTGTGGAATCTGCTCCGAAATTGGCTGTATACTTTACGAACTAGAGTGTAAACTGGGTAACCCGCAAATTACTCCAGCGACATGGTTCTCGTCTCGGGGGCCATTATCGTCCCGGAGCCGTTCCGAAAGCCGATCAAACCCTATTCCAGGAAAAAAGATGAATCCGGCTTTCTCTCTCTCGCTCTCTCTCTCTCTCTCTCTCTCCTTCGCCCTTCCGCCCTCTCTCTGGAGGATCGTAGCTCGAATTCGTTGGAGAGTATTCGCTTTGGCGTTTGTCGAAGCTCGAAGGAGTTGCCAAGGAACGAAGCAAAAGGAGCCTCGAGGTCGACCGTCGATTCCGATTACGACTCGGTTCGTTTAACCTTCGACTTCCGGCTTCTTCCCGATCTCTCTCGCGCTCCTTTCCCCTCGACCCTCTCTTTCGGTTCGCACAGAGCCGGCCCGGTAGAAAGAAAAATATTAGCGCCGCAACGTCTAGTAGAGTCGAGAGTGCCGAATCTCAACGTATCCCAAAGCAGCAGTTCCAGCGAGCTGCCCTCGCGAAACCGTTCGTCTGAAGTTCGACCGAGTTCAAAGACCAAGCCGAGTCTTGTCATCGGCTGAAAGACATTTTCCTCGCTCGTCAATGTCAGAATGGAAAATTAAAAGACGAAGGGGAAGGTAAGAGATATGTCACCCAGTAAAAAGATGTTTTTCTCGTTGATAAATGTTTCATAAAATACAGATATTAAAAGATAGTTAGAGGTGACATTTCGAGCTTCGAACCGTTCACTGGAGTAATTCGTAGATCGTTCCGACTCGTCTCGATCCCGTGTTCATTTTGTTCGATCTGGAGCAAAAGGTCGGGGATCGAAGAAGGAGGAGCAGAGGGGTAGGCGAGTAGTGAGTCGAGTAAAATAGACAGTAGAGAGTTGTAGTAAGCGATCAATGGACAGGCATTCTCGTTTCAGATAAGAGTATCGTAGAAAAATGCTAAGCATGCAGGCTGAAAACGTGCAACGAGCTCTGAGAAAAAAAGATAGTCACTCATGCGAAAGTACAGCATGCGGTGCTTAATCTCCATTGCGTTCGCGCTCGAAGGCTTTCGAGTTCTCATCCGCTTCCATCGAACCGCTCGCTCCGCCCTTTTCGTTCGAGACACGAGCGATTTTCCCTCTCAGGCTGACCCATCGATTCGCAATTGTAAATCGCATTTACTCTGGAAACGAGATAGTAAAATAAGGAGGAAATAACGTCTAGCGGATCAGTCGCTCTGCTGTTAATCCGCATCATCGCAGGGTCGAAAGAGAAAACGATAAAAAGTTAAATAGTCGACGATAAGAACTGTGACAACGCGATTGAAGCGAGTAAAAGAAAATAAGAGAACGAAGTAGGGGGAAAGGTATGTTAATTTTTCTCGGTCTCTCGCGTATAGCCCTCGATGCCCGAGCCCGATTCAGCGGGAGTCCCGAGGCGAAGAGCACTCTCCTCGCCGTGACCCAGATCGATCGGACGCCGCGCCGCGCCGCGCCGTAGAAGACGAGTTGAAAAGAAGCGGAACGGAGCGAGTCGAGATTTCGCGTCTAACCAGAGAAATCGTGCGGATCGATCTCGGATCTTTCGGGCGGAATGCGTACTTAGGGAGTGCTGGTGCTCTCGTGTGCACGTTCCTTCACGTTCGAGGTTGAATCTAGCCTGTCTCTCTCTCTCTCTCTCTCTCTCTATCATTCCCCTCTCCGGACGTCTGGCTGGCGAGATTCACTTTTATTTTTGTCAGACCGCGACACGTCCAGGATCGCGGTTCGCGTTCCTCTTGATGTCCGCTTTAAACGTGTTCGATCCGTCGTTAGCCTTTTCATAAACGCGACTGCAATCCGGTTGCAACTTTTCACGGACGTTGCATCGCTCGGACGCAACAGGCTCTCGCCTGCGTTTAAACAGGAGCTGCCGTGTTCGATTTCTCATTTTCTTTTTTTTCAACACTCGTTTAGCGAATGTTTGCGAGACGAATCAGAAGGTGATCACGTGCCCGTCGATGGAGAAGAGATTCTAATTATTTTCGCGACTTGGACAGAGCACGCGTGGCTGAAACGTAGAAATTTGATTGCGCGCCGTGGGACACGGTCGTCCATCTATAGCCAACAACAAATGACAATCGATTCTCGCTGCGGCCAACAACGCATACTTAATATAAAAAGGGGAAAGAAAGAAAACAAACGCTTGCACGTCGCACATGCGCTTCGTGTTACATATGGTACTTACGTCGTGCCGCTAAGCGCATTTTACGAACGCACAACCCTTGGACTTTAATTGGTGATCGCGAGGGTCACGAATCTCAATTCCCCTGTCGATCGTGGACCGAATGATCATTCTTCATACAGTTTATGTTTTCAGTCCAGTTATATCAGCGTCTGAAATGATCTAATCCAGACATGATCGGCTGGCCTGAGCGGGAACATAGGTGGGAATGCTTCAAGTAGTATGAGCGTATTATGGTCTGCCGAGTTACTGTGACTACTGCACGAGGTGGGGAGAGCTATTAGAGTAGGGCGAAATGAGTTAGCAATGTCCATGCCTGATCTAATCCATCAAACAGGCTCCCTTGAAAGGATTATTAAGTCCTGAGAAATTGTTATACAAAAGCGATCATTATAGGAACTTTTGTTGATCATGTTTTCCAAATTATCCCTCGGTACGAGCTTGGATGATTCGAAGAACCTACGCGGCTTATCGTGACAACCATCTTTGATCTGACGATCGTGATTGAGGATATAAAAAGAGGAGGTATACATTTTGATGGGGGTTCGGTGCGCGAGGGTAAGCCGATGAAAAGTAGAAGGAGCACTAAAAATAGCGGCTCGGTCGAGTGTCATTAGATGCGAAGGGACGGATGGAGAAGAAAAAGAAGGAGAAAGAAGAAGAGACGTCTCGGTCGAAGGGAACGGGATTTTAGTGAAATTAAGGTCGAGTTTGCCACGCGATGAAATATCCTTATCTACATCTCGATACCGGTGGCCTTTGGTTAATTAAGGAGAAAGGAGCTTATCCGAAGGAGGCTATAACGTCGTCCCGGCAGCCTTAAACACCCGCGGTATCGCTCAGAGTAATTGCTCCGCCGAAGGGAGTGCAAAAGGGAGGCAGAGAACGTCGCCCCCCAGCTTCTCCTCCTCGAAGTCGACGCGACCGCGGCAAATAATGAGCTCGACCATGGAAAACTATCTCCATCCGTTTATTTATGATGCTATTCTTAAACTTTTCAGTCGCATTGAACCGCAGAGATGGACTCGTCGCGCGTAATTATAAGCGTCTGTTCTGAAAGGGAAGTTGGTAATTTCTCGTCTCGAAATTGTCACCGCCGCGATGGACATTTACAAATTCATTTAAGAGATCATCTTGACGAAAATTTCCTATTCTAACCTAATAATAATCTACTAAATCCTCGATTTCGGTTGTCAATCTCTTTATTACGTAAATATGAAATTCGCTCCACGATCGACGGGAGGGGTTCCCTTTTTCGTTTTCATCGCACACACAGATCGATCGTAGAAAGAGTAACGATACAGACTAAAAATAGAGTATTCGGTAACAAGATACAGACAAACAAGTACCACAAGGAAACGATAATAAATACACACGTTTACTTCACAACATCAACAGTCGTCTTCCACATGGGTGCGCTAAAGTAATAATTACGTTTAAACGAATACAACGTATTCAATACGACGTGTATACTCGTCCATTCAATCGAGTATCGCAAAGGTGCAAAGCTGCCTCTGCGGGCAACTCGCAGCGGGAACAGAAAAACGATATATGTAATCGATAGAAGCCAAGTAATCAACAAATTCTCGTGTGTACGCGTTGTATCGGATGTCTGTATATATATATATATATAGGTATATATATATATAGGTATATCATATCGGACGGTGTACCGCGTGTACACGTACGCAGGTAAATATGTATTGTATATGTATACAGAGAATTCGGGCGAGGAGGGCCAGATTCCATACTCACCAACGCACGGATTGTGATTCACCAACGAGAAGATCCTGTCGCATCGCTTCTTCATGTGGTTGTTCGGACAGATGCACCCGAACATCGGTGATAATCGCAGCTGGGTCCAGGAGTCATGACAGGCGTTTCTGAAACATCAAAAACCAAAATATAAACGTCCGTCCTTCCGCTCATTACAGATAGAAAACATACTTTAATAATTATGAAATTGTAAAATCCTTTTATGTACGATTACTCCATTAATTATTTATTTCTTGTTTTAATCTGTTCTACTGATTTTGCGCGAATAAAACACGATGAAAAGAAGTTCTGTAGTTAAAAACATGAACAACAGACGTTTTAACGAACAAAAACTAAAATTATATATACGTTCGTTCTTCCTTTAATATATGTATGAAACAGGTTTTAATAATTAAGGAAATGTAAAATTTTTTTATTGTACAATTATTTCATTAACAAATCGTTTGTTTCTTGTTCGAATTTTGAACCTTATTTTGGTGATTTTGTACGAGTGAAATATGATGAAAAGATGGTTAAAAACATGAACGACAGACGCCAGAACGAGCAGAAAGTTCGGGTATGGGAAAGAAATCTTGGAACAACGTGGGGGTAGGTATACGTTGAACCGAAGTTTACGAGCAGGAAGACCAAAGTCAGTCCGTGTTAACTGTTCCCGGAGTAAACGCGTCCGAGGCAGTTCGGAAGTCAATTGGTGGAGCTGGCGTAAACTTTCCTGTCCGCGTGTTCCCGTGTCTGATGGGGCCGAAAAAAGCGGCGGGGTCGAGCTCATTCCACTGCTCGATAGCTTTTCAGACCGTAAGACAAATGTCCCAAATCCTGCTCACTTTTACTTCATTATTTTTCTATAATTTAGAAATCGGGACATTTACCATATTAAGTTATTCCCTCCTTACCGCCTACAATTAGTCGCACTTAGAAAAGTGTCGCCAATTCCAATTTGATACTGTGAATAAATAAAACAATATCAATAAAGAATTCACTGCAAATGAGAGAGCCTACGGCTCTTAAGAAAGTTTTCGAGGCTCTATTAGAGAAAACCCATCCCTGACCATGCATGCTGTTTATGGTCAAAATACCAACAAAAATAAATTACGGATTAAATGAAAAATTCGGTATGGTTTGTATCATCCAAAATGTCGCAGTCATAACAATAACTATTTTAACCAAAGTCCACAAGTTAGATCAGCGCGGAAACGATATCACCTCTGCAAACATTATTTTGTAACTGAATCGAATATTAGCTGGTAAATGAGCCAGTTTTGTAATTATCGAAAATGGTTGAGATGTAAATCTCGCGTGGGAGACCCGGTTGTTTAATCGGAATAACGGATTCCTTATTCCCATTAACATAACGATCATTATTAACGCAACGTTTACAAATTGAAATCAAACTGAACATAATTAACTGCACTGTACACTTAAAACCTGCTACCATCAACGGGATCGCGTGGCTCATTGTGTTTGCGACGCGAATTTAATTAAATCGTTATCATTTTCCCAGTTTTAATTTAAAATCTATTACTACAAATTCGAACAGTTAATCTACGGTGTAATCGTGATTAACTACCTAATCGAAACGCGAGAGATCTTGCAAGAGAAAAAACATAGAAGAAAATATGATTTACTTATCATTGTTTGACTGCGGATTTTCAGAAAACTGAAAATGCAGAAAATATAATCACGAGCTTTTCTTGCACTCTGGTTGCATGGATTGTATCGAAATATAGAAAATATCTAAAGCACAGTGGACACTGCATTATTTAAACGATAAGAGAAGTCGTTATTTAAAACACGTTCTCTAAACCGGTGGCATAAATATTTAATTTTGCATTAAATCCGATGGTCTATTTATCAAGTGTTAAGTTTGATGTGGACATTAGAGACGAATAACGTACTCAATTCCATTAACGATTAATGTAACGTGAATGAAACGTTTTTCGAGAAATTCTTTATGCAAATATTTCTCGGCGGCGCGATCGCGCCGATGATAGCGGGGCACGAATCTCGAGCTGGAAATAAGCTTAAAAATGTCTATGCAAATTCCTCGTACCACTTTGATGTAATTGCCCCGATATCGAGCGTAAGCCGACGACAAAAAAGGGAGAAATGAATTCTGCAAGTTGGCCTTTATTTCTTTCGTTCGTGATTAATCGCGCTCATGCGATTTTCGGTGACTTTTACGAAGCTTCCAGCGATAAGAATAAACAGTTTGCTAGCACGGCCGGGCATGTTAACCTAGAACAGCGATAGGTCTCGAGGAGCCGGATAAAAAAATTATTCCGGGCTTGCGAAAGAGTCGGAAGCGCGCGGCTAGGAGAGGACGGGACCGCGGGAGTGCAGGAATTCGAGGAGGGCACCTCGGAATTATTTGGGTTTATGGCACACACGGTAACGTGGCTTTCGCTCTCGACGAATTAGAGAGCAAACGGGGCAAATGGAAGCGCGGAACCTGAGCCGAAGTAAGAGAGGCAACTTCGGGGATGCATAGATTACTGAAACGCTTAAGTACACGGTTCGTTTTATTCCTACGCTACTGTGTAATCGTGCTCTTTTCATAACAACTAAATTGTCCTCCTGGAGATATTTCTAACTGTTGTATTTTATTGGTGAAAGAATGTTTTCTATCCTGTACTATCTATTTTATCCATTTTATAATATCACGTACGCCGATGTCTAGATATTCCGGACCAGCTTTGTAAAGTATACCTAAAAAATGGCATGTACTATGTTTTCGGTACACTTCGTTAATATCCCAAATATGTCTCAGGTATACTTTACAATGCTGGTCCGAATTCCCTTGGGGCCACTGTACCTACGTCCGTTCTTCTTAATAGTAAAGAACTAAGAAGCAAAAAATAGTGGTTCACATTAGTACCCGCAAGGAAAGAACTCAAAGGAACGGCTCACATGCCACACTTATCACTGTGTCACCAAGTGCCTAAAACCGTATCATACATGAGAGACCATTATTCACGTCACTAATGAAAGAGGCAATGCTGCTTTTAACATAGAACGTTTTAAAAAGTCTCACTGCCTCATTAGTTGTTCGAGCATCGAAAGGAAGTCTCTGCAGGCGCTACGGAAATCCATCTTCATCGAGTTTCAAACTTCTCCGAAATTTCGTACGGGTTCGGAGCAACTTCGTAACAAGGATTCTAGTCAAATTATTATTATACGTACATTCTTAATTAAAAGTTTGCATACCGTCTTTCGAAAAAAAAAAATGGTACCTATTTTTTGTAAGAAAAATTTATTCGTCAACGGCGATCCTCTTTCACCGGCGAAATCTGTCGCGAATGGGTTAAAGCAGCACGTCGCCTCGATCCCCGGTGGGTGTCCAATGAAATTATGGTTTCGTCTGGTGGCGACGACGATTTTCGTCGGCGGTTGTGCCGGTGACAGGTATCCGGAATGCGCAGTCTGTTCGAGGAACAAGCGGTCGTCGTGCGGTCTGCCCGCACATCGAACGCAGAGAGTCTCTACGCGGGCGAGAGTTTCACCGGCTTTAAGCCACTATCCGGTGAATTCAGAACCCGGAAATTCGCTGGCTCTCTCTCGTTCACCGCTTCTCGATTTTTTCACCCCCGGGGACTCTTCCGACAGAATTCGATCTCGATTCCCTTTTCAATATTTTTTAAATAACGCGAGATTTATCTGACGAAGGGGGAACAAAAAGGACGGGACACGGGGACCAAATATAATCCGTAAATCTAGTTTTTATCACGAGTGGCGGACCCGAGAACGCGAGCAGGAGACGGTGGAAGGTGGCACGGGGGTGAAGGAAGGGATTGCGAAGAGCGCGAAAGAACAAAGAGAAAACCGAGGTCAGGGGTCGTGGCAGGGGTTCGCGTGGAGTGAGTCGCGTGTGGATGCTGGCCTACGAACTACGAACGAAGAAACCTGACTATGGAAAGAGCGAGGAGGAGAGAGAAAGCGACCCACTTCCCCGTACGTAGGTACGGCCGGGCGATAATTTACTGGCGTGTAGGTACGTCTGAAGGATCCGGTACGTGCCGGTCGAGTGGTCTTGCACAGTCGGGGGTGCTAAGTACGCCTACGTGTGCGCTGACGCACCCCCTACCCCGTTCGTAACAGCACCCCTTTCTTTCGACCTCCTCCTCCTTCGTCTCCTTCCTCGACCACCTTCGCACGCGTCTATCCGCGAAATTTTCTGTGAAAACGCGGCATTCAACGACGCGATATTGCCTGGAAGTAATAATCCTGTCGTGGCTCTGTCACTTCTTTCAGAGATTTAGTTATTTATCAAGGGATGTAGTGGCGTCTCGACGGAAGCTTTGAGTCAGCACATGGCATATACCCGATGGGCTACCGCGGGTACTTATACATATATACAGTTTGGGACTTTGGGACGATGATTCTCGACCCGTTTTTAATTGTACTAATTTCTCCCATGTGGACGAGATACGAAAATAGGAATAAATCTGTGCTTCATTGTTTTAATGCTCAATCTGCCGTTTGGATGATCCTTATCACAAAGTCAGAATAAAAGAAATAAAGTCGTTTATTTATTAATTCACAAGACCGGTCATTTTGATTGAATACGATAGATAGAAGTATACAGGTTTAATCGATAGATTTAGTGTTAAATCAATGGATGAGTTTCCGATTGCATACAGAATGTATTCTATCCAATTGAATGACATCATGATCTGACAGGGGAATGGCATGCTAAAATCGGAATATTTTCCGATGCCATTCTCCCATCGGTTCATAGTGTCATTTAACAGGATTTACGTGCACACGTCTCCATTTCTTGATCGTTCACCCGCGTCTCAACCCTTCTAGCGAAGAAGAGCGGCGCGTGAACATCGACAAAAGTTATGCATAGCCCGCGCGCGGCGCGGCGCAGTGTCGGGACGCTCCTGAATAATGTATGCGCCTATAGCAAGGCCGGAGGAATGATTAACGACGCTGACCCGCTTGTAACTTCCGAAAAGTTCCCCTACTCCTTTTTTTGCCGCTTCTTCCACGGCCATTTTACCTTCTTGCTCGCGACGGCTCCCCAACTGCGAACTATTCGCCGCGCCTCGCCAGTAGGACGACAACGGTTTATTTATCAGTCTCTTATAAATTATACCGTGACTCG